TCGTTTTGTCCAGGGCACTATCTCATGTATACAGTTGCAAGTAGCACTTGGTATGGCAGAGTCATACACTGAAAGCAGGTCCTTGCTATGTACAAAGCTAACGTTACATGTCTTTGCTAACGTTACAGTTCTTTGTTCTCCATTCATTGCTTTGTCTTCTAATGATATGCCCTGTATTCATGAAAGTAAGAATTACAGTTGATGACATACAGGTAGTTAATTATATTTTTATATTGGGCTCTTTCAAAGAAGTGTTACCTTGACAACTTTTTATTGATACATATATATGGTTTGGGTAAATTAATACATGATCTGTTAGACTGTAATTATGTGTCTTTTGGCAATCTAGTTTTGCTGCTATTTTTTTTGTGTAGTTAAGAAAATATATTGAAGAATGATGTACTTTTAGTCTTTCTTTTTCAACCTTATGTATATTTATATGACTTCAATAATTATTTTTCTTAATCTCTGTTTTTCCATATGATATTGCAGGTTCAAAACTTGATATTGTCATTTATTGGAGAAACTATGAAGAACAAAATTAAACATTCATGTACCAACATGTTAAAAAGGCTAAATTTTTGAGACATTAATTTATTATTGTTAATGTCTTTTTAAACCAGGTGTGTAAAGAAAAAGTGTAAAAGCGCTTATACCAGCATTGATAATATAAAGTGTATGTTGTTCTTAATATCGAGATAAAAATAAGTATTTTAGAGAAAAGCAAATAGGCGTTGTCAATAACCTTCAGTTGAGGTGTTTTTTTACAGATAATATATATCCGATACACGAAGTCATGATCTGCTAGCTAGGCGTAAGCAGTGTTATATATTAGTGTTCAGTTTAAAACATACACAATATTATTGCTATATAGATAATAAATGACTATAATGTTTATTTTGTGAGGCATGTTTATTTTTAGGTTTTTGTTTACATCATCCTTTATTGAATTAAAATGACCCGGTAAAAAGAATGACATCAGCATTAATTATAATGTAATACGTTGTTTATTTTATCTGGAAATATTTCAGGCTTTTCATATCTGATACCAATGCAATCAGTTTGAAAGACATTTACTAGGAATTTGTATACATGTATTTGTGCATTGCTATATATGTTAGAGATTTTTCTTAGTAAAAAGAAAAAGGAAGGAAATTGTTCCTGGTCTGAATTTCGTACTTTGTTAAGTCTCCTTTCAGGAACAAGTACTCTTATATATTATAATATAGGTGTATTGACAGACGATGCTAGTGTCGTCGGTGGTATAAGAACTGTACAGTAACAATAGAATAGGTCATGCATAGAAGATGACATGTGATGTCAATACATCACTTGTTAGTTTTTGAAAGTTTCTTGCCATTTATGCAGACTTTTTTATTTGCAAAAAGGTAAAAGGTGTAACAGCTATTATTAAATGTTATCATTAGTTTTCCAGTTTAACGAAGCATTTGTTTAAGACTCAAATTGGAATTTTGTGTCAAGTGATGCGTGTTCTATAAAGAAAAGTGGTCTAGATCTGTGTTTATTGATTGAAATAAACATATCTCTTCTGTGAACTTATTTAACGTGAGAATGCATGTTGTAACAAGGTGTACAAGGACTGCATTTTGTGTTCATGACTTTTTGGAGAATTTATATATAAGGAGGAACTAATCAAATTGGTCTTAGATTGAAGCATTGTATTGGCGGAGAAAGTTTTCCGTTATGTTTGAATGAGAACGTGTACGATTCCATCGATTGAAGACAGTCTTTGTGATATTGTCATTGATAGGTTGGCAGGTACTAGAGTGTAGGAGACTGATGTGTTATTCAGTAATTGTGTTTTGGAATGATGCATTCTGTCTATAATTGTGTTTTGTCCTGTATACGCTTGGTGCAATAACCCAAGCTAATCATTATTGATGTAGAGCTTCAGCTAACCAAAACAATGTGACCTGTATCAGTTAATGTAGCTATACCTATAACTAGCTACCACAGTTATCCTAATTACAGTGCTGATGGTCCTATATATATAATATATAAACACAGGGATAATCCTGGAGCTCGAGGCCATGGGGCCATTGACCCCTCAAAACTGAATTTGACCCCTCCATTTTCCAATTTTCTTTTAATCTTACATGTACATAGAATGACCCATCTTAATTTTAATATTGACTAAAATTGCTGAAATGGTCCACTGCTCTCAAATTCCAGGATTTTCCCTGTAAGCACCCCAGCCATTGACCGTTTACATCCAATATGAACATCAGACATTTGTTAGGTGATAAAATTGTCAACAAATTATATTTCAGTGGTAAATATTTTAAAATTAGTTAAGATAAACCATGACTTAAAAGAAAGGACAGGGCCAGATGGAAGGAAAGCAATCAGACATGTTTGTCCATGTAATCAATAATAAATCATTAGGCTTCTCACGAGTAATACTGTAAATCAAGAAAAGTGAACAGTTTCCCTTTAATAAAACACTATATTTATACATGTACCTTCTAACACCGGAGAGCTGTAAAGTGGTTAATCAATATGACATGTTGGGCTGCAAGAATTTGGCTCTTTAGCTTTCAGACAGAGTTCGTCTCCAAAAATACTTTCTTCCTGTCTAGACAACTATCTATAAATCATAAACCAGTACAATAATGGAATGTGTGTGAATACTTGTGCTACTGCTAAACTGTCAGCATCGCTGGTTTCCATATATAGATTAATTTACCCATATCTGTCCTGTCCCATCCAATAGCATCGCACAGCATTGTCACCACTGTGTAGGGTTCAGCGAAATTCTGTGTTGCCCAGCAGACAGATTCTGATGACGACATATCTAATATGTTGAAACTAGTGAACTTAATTTTGCTTAGAGCTGGTAAACCCAACTTGACATATTCATGATCATCTTTACCTATTGTAGTTCATTTGTAATTAAAAACGATGGCCAACTTATATGGTGCACAAATTGAATGAAGCAATAATTGTAGGAACAAGTGATAGTTTATGCTGTTTTTGAAGCTAACATCAGCCAAAATGCTTTAATTGTACACTTTGCAGAGTTCCAGTGTGGAATGTCATACAATGTATATGAAGAAACCTCCCCTACTTTTGTTTCTTGGGTCAATATATTATGTTTGACCAGACAGTGGCACGGGGATCCCTTGTTTATTTTTTTTCTTTCGAAGTGTTTCATATTTCAAAACTGAATTGGGCCATATTTATAAGATAAATGAACAAACATGTATTTTTTACAGTAACTGTTTGTGAAGTTGTTTATACAATTGTATATATATATCTTAGCTAGAATACACGACTTTTTTGTGTGTGATTGATAACGTATATGGATATAAGATATGGCTGTCAGATTTCGATATAGAGATTGTTATATCCAGATTAAACAACTGTGGGATCAAAGATTAAAACAATTTGTTCAAATTTCATAAGAGATTTTATTCTCAGTAGGTTAAACCAGATTGTATGTATGTATCATCTTTAGCTTAGATAGCAGGTTATCAGACTTAAACAGGAAGAATTTGGTAGACCTGTTTACAGGAAGATACGAGTTTTCATGTGGTGAGGTATGGTGGAAATGATGATATATTGGTGTAGACATTGTGTGTTAACAATTGAACATGTTTACCACAGGACATAAGGCACCTGCGCTTAATCTATCATAAATCTCCACACATAATAGACCTAAGTAAATAAACTTAACACCATCCTGGTTTTTTGTTCTGTTCAATAAATTTAAAAGTCAACAAATAAGAAAATAAAAATGTAAGGCTGGCATTCAATAAATATTTCTCGGTTTACAACCCTGCATGCGTAGTCAAACCAGAAAAATACTGAACCATAAATATAATTACATATTACATAACTGGATTTATCCAATTTAAATAACTGAGATATATAAATTTGGAAAAAATATTATGCAAGAATAATTTGAGTGATGTTATTTGGTAATAAATGAGGTTTAAATGTGTATGTGAATGTATTATAAGGAAATTTTAATATCAATGGCCACTTGAAAGTAGAAAGCAGATCTAAAGCTGTGTGCCAGGTAGTTGACCAAACCATATATATACATATAGGAAATTATCACAATACAATGCAATGTATTATGATAATGACTTTTGTGCTAATTATGATGTAATATATAAACATTTAATTGTATAAAGATGTTTTTCATGACACAGAGGGTAAAATTGTATTGTAAAAACGTTTATAGAATTTCTTGATGTCATTAACTGTCATTTTCGTGAAGTCAGTTAAAATTTGATAAATGCTGTCAAATTATATAAATACCATGGCCAGTTTTGTGTCAAACAATGGTTGGACGCGTATGTACGTATGTACGGTATGATTTACTGATATATCTGTGAAGTGTTGTACAGAAATCATGATGCAACATGTTGCTGCTGAGGAAATAGTATTCAACCCTTTCACCCCTAGGTAACTTTAGTAGACTCTACCATACATTGATCTGGATGAGTCCACTGTGGTCTACAGTGGTGAAAGCGTTGATGCATCAAAGGATACGAGCTCCATTGCTGTGCCAGCACACACTAATAATAAACTACCTAGTGCTAACGACAGTTTGAGTTAATTGCTTCATACTGGGTTTGAGCTTTTTTATTTAATTCAAAGACATGGATCCCGAGTCAACTTCGTTTTAGTCCAATTTTGTTACGAATGTCCTGCACATGGGGCAGTAGTGGTATTTTAATTTGGCACTGATATACAGTTTCAATGAAAAGTGTTTATCTGATTATAATACATGTGAAAATTTGAAATAGCAATATTGGATTGTGTCAATATATCTGTCCAGACTATCCGACATGTTTATAGAGGCGCTTGTTTTGGTGTGAGCAGGTATAACTACATTAATAGCGAAATAACTAAATACTGTGAGATTGTGGTGATGAAAATAGTTACTTCCAAGCTGTATAAGCCCACAATTTAACTCTTATTTGATTTCGTAATATGTTCATGGATTTAATTTCTGTTTCCAATTTCAGCCTGATCATATGCTGAAACTATGGCTTACAGAATTCCTAAAGGTAAGTGATGGGGATTGCTCTGGGTATTTTGGTAATTAACAAACCTTTATACGATGGGTGATAGCCGTTATTTCCGTTCATTCTTATAACAGCTATATATACTGTTGGAAATAATTAAAGACAGAAAGTTATTGCTTTTAAGAATCTAGATGTGCAATGTGGCTGAGGGCTACAAAGTATAATTATTCTGTGAAAGTTTTGTTTTGTGAGAAGTTACAAGTTTATCCATCACAACAGTTACATATATATATCAGTTTGATTGCGTGTCAAACTTCAATGTTTTAACCTTGAGTTGATGTGCTAACAAAGGATCAGTGAAACACAAACGTACATCACAGCATAGAAATAAACTAAAACAACAATAAGATTTGTACAGAAACATGTTCATTACAGCATAGAAATTAACTTAAACAACATTAAGATTTGTACAGACACATGTACATTACAGCATAGAAATAAACTAAAACAACAATAAGATTTGTACAGAAACATGTTCATTACAGCATAGAAATTAACTTAAACAACAATAAGATTTGTACAGACACATGTACATTACAGCATAGAAACAAACTGAAACAACATTAAGATTTGTACAGAAACATGTACTGTAGAATGTAAAAAACTAAAACAGGAGTTAATGAGTGTGTCGTAAACATCTATAGATGAAGGGTCCCTGTCTACTATAAAGGTTCCTTTGTAGCTGTGAACCTTTTTAACACTGTTATGCTACGTTTGTTTCAGACTGTACAGCAGTACGAGCCTGGCCTGCTGGCTCTCCATTGCCAAGAAGTTGGCGGTAAAAACTATGAGGCTTCCATGCAACATGTTAACTCTTTTGTGAAGTAAGTAGCACCACTGACTTTTCTCCTTTGGTTAAACTGGCACAGACTGTAACAGAACAAATGTTTACTCCGAACTTTATTGACACAAGTCTTATTTTACTTACTTTTTGAGATGGTCAGTACCCTATACGAGACACTCTCCCTGGTCGGTTCATACACTAGACATAAAACTGTATTACAGTGTATTGCAACCTAAGATGGTCATTCCATGGTCAGCGTTTTTGACATGTACAGTATCAATAAATGTACATGTACTGTTTACATATTGTACCTAGCTAGGATGATTATTCTATGGTCAGTGTCCTGGACATGTACATGTATACTGTACCTCTGATGGTCATTCTATGGTCAGTGTTCTGGACATGTTCATGTATACTGTACCTCAGATGATCATTCTATGGTCAGTGTTCTGGACATGTACATGTATACTGTACCTCGGATGGTCATTCTATGGTCAGTGTTCTGGACATGTACATGTATACTGTACCTCAGATGGTCATTCTATGGTCAGTGTTCTGGACATGTACATGTATACTGTACCTCAGATGGTCATTCTATGGTCAGTGTTCTGGACATGTACATGTATACTGTACCTCAGATGGTCATTCTATGGTCAGTGTTCTGGACATGTACATGTATACTGTACCTCAGATGGTCATTCTATGGTCAGTGTTCTGGACATGTACATGTATACTGTACCTCAGATGGTCATTCTATGGTCAGTGTTCTGGACATGTACATGTATACTGTACCTCAGATGGTCATTCTATGGTCAGTGTTCTGGACATGTACATGTATACTGTACCTCAGATGGTCATTCTATGGTCAGTGTTCTGGACATGTACATGTATACTGTACCTCAGATGGTCATTCTATGGTCAGTGTTCTGGACATGTACATGTATACTGTACCTCAGATGGTCATTCTATGGTCAGTGTTCTGGACATGTACATGTATACTGTACCTCAGATGGTCATTCTATGGTCAGTGTTCTGGACATGTACATGTATACTGTACCTCAGATGGTCATTCTATGGTCAGTGTTCTGGACATGTACATGTATACTGTACCTCAGATGGTCATTCTATGGTCAGTGTTCTGGACATGTACATGTATACTGTACCTCAGATGGTCATTCTATGGTCAGTGTTCTGGACATGTACATGTATACTGTACCTCAGATGGTCATTCTATGGTCAGTGTTCTGGACATGTACATGTATACTGTACCTCAGATGGTCATTCTATGGTCAGTGTTCTGGACATGTACATGTATACTGTACCTCAGATGGTCATTCTATGGTCAGTGTTCTGGACATGTACATGTATACTGTACCTCAGATGATCATTCTATGGTCAGTGTTCTGGACATGTACATGTATACTGTACCTCAGATGGTCATTCTATGGTCAGTGTTCTGGACATGTACATGTATACTGTAACTTTGATGGTCATTCTATGGTCAGTGTTCTGGACATGTACGATATATATATATTACTCATGATATTTAAAGATTTTTTTCAGGCTAATCCTGAGAATCTTTCAAAACATTTGACGAGTCTAGTTACTAAGGGATAGAGTGGGTTCTAGAAAGTTAGCAAGTCCCACAGGGCAAGCATGAGTCCCAAAACTCACTGATTGCTATATCAGTGTATAATGTAATGTTGAATGGTCATTCTCTGTACATGTGGTCTGTGTTCTGGGATTGTACACTACTTATTTATGTAGAACGTAACTCTGATTGTATATTAATGATCCGTAGTCAAAACATTGAGGATTACAGCAATAACATGGTTGAATACTGGGAATGAACATAACAAATTAAGACTGAGATAATTGAGTCCATTTCCTGATCCTTAATTTGGTTTGACATCATCTGTGCCATTTCCACTAGTTCACATATCTTATAAAGTGTTTCAAGACATTTTTGTATTATTTACTTACGTGAAACCTTCAACATATTAAAATTGCATGGCTGTTTCTATAAAAAAACAAATTGTTCTGTGATATGGTAATGAAATGCAAGCAAAATCAGTGTAATTGTCTGTTATAAAGTTTGTAATAAGAAGTTTAATCTGTCACAACAAATGTAAACAATATATAATCTGAAAACATGTACTTAATTAATCCAGACCTTCAGGCAGGTCTCACTCAAGTGTTTGGTTTACACAGGATTCTTTGTATAGGTTCCAATTTGTGCATACCTTACATGAATTAAACTTTTGTGATCAGAATGTGTGTCATTTCTGAGTTGGTTTGGTTGATTTAGTTTAAAAAGATGCATTTCTAATACATGTGAACATTGAAGGTTATAATCCCTGTCTCTTACATCAGTATGTGTTGGACTATGGTAACCTGCATGTATTTCTCCAACATGCTTTCCTTCATCACTATGCTATATAATATCAGTTTACAAGAAAAAGTACACTGGTTAGATATGTGTGATATATAAGTAAAATGCTGAAAAAACTCTATTACAAGCATCAGTTGACATTATTATTTAGGTGTTCCCTTTGTACACTACGTATACCCCAATTCAGAAGTACCAGTGGTAGGATATGGGAGATGTTTCTGTATACTCATAGTAATTATCATAGTAATTATTACGATTAATAAATTGATGTCTATCATACAATATATCCATTGAGTTTAGAATATACATATATATTGACATCCACCTTCTGAATAACCAAAATGCCCAGGGTGATGATATTTGGCCAGTAGCATGCTGAGATAAAGGGCTACAAATTTTGTACAAATATATGACCTTCACCCATATTCAAGGCCACAGGGGTCAAATGTGTTAAAAACATTAAACAACTTCTTCTGAATAACCAAAATGCACAGGTTGATGATATTTGGCCAGTAGCATGCTAGGGTAAAGGGCTATCAAGTTTGTTCAAATGAATGACCTTCACCTATATTCAAGGTCACAGGGGTCAAATATGTGAAAAACATTAAACAACTTCTTCTGAATAACCAAAATGCACAGGGTGATGATATTTGGCCAGTAGCATGCTGAGATGATCATGAAGGGCTACAAAGTTTGTTCAAATGCATGACCTTCCCGTGCACCCATATCCAAGGGCACAGGGGTCAAATAAAGTGTATGTTAAAAACTTTAAACAACTTCTTCTGAATAACCAAAATACCCAGGGTGATGATATTTTAGTCAGTAGCATACTAGGATCAAGGGCTACCAAGTTTGTTTAAATGTATGACCTTGAATCATATTCAAGGTCACAAGGAGCAAATATGTTCAAAATATTTAAACAACTTTTTCTGAATAACCAAAAGGCTCAGGATGTTGGTGTTTAGTCAGTAGCATGCTGGGATCAAGGACTACTATGTTTGTTAAAGTGAATGACTTTGACTTATATTCAAGGTCACAGGGTTCAAATTTGTTTAAAATCTTTAAACGACCTCTTCTGAATAACCATGGGTCCAAGGATGTTGATACTTTGCAAGTTGCATCCTGAGATGAAAGGCTATAAAAATTGTTTAACATAATGACTTTGTTCGACTTTCAATCACAGGGGTGAAATGTTTAAGAAAAAATTAACAGGGTCTTTTGAATGAATTTTAATCATAAATACTGATATTTTGCCTGTAGCTTTATTTTAGATCACTTTTAAGGTTAAAAGTGTGAGATTTATACCAGGTGAGCGATGCAGGCCCATTAGGCCTCTTGTTTTCTTTTCCGATATTTGCAAAAATATATCATAACACATTATATGTATGGATCGATCATTCCTATTCACTAGGTTTTGCATATCCAGTTTAGCCTGAAACTCATGATTATTTAGACTTAAGGGAAGTTTTTTTTATGTTGATGGTGATTTAAATAGATTTTCCCAATAAATTACTTGGCTATAGTGAAACTTTCTCATTAACATATATCTGAAGTAGGATATTTAGCATTTTGATGCATAGAACTAGATTGACATTTTGGATAGTGCTGCCAATAAAGTTGTCCTTTGCCAACACTCCTGATTCCTGTAAAAGCTATAGGATAGTGATCATACATAAGTATGCACCGTATTGTGATAGTCGCAGGGAAACCACCGACATTTTTACAATTAAACAGTGTTATACTTTCTATATATTACTTTAGATGTAAAGATCACAATCATACTGGAGTATGGCAAAATACTGTATACTGAAAACTTGCGCAAGTCAAAATTTTTCACATGAAATAAATTTTCGCCCAGTCTTGATGTTGCCTTTCACATTAAATTACTATATAATATATGTCATGTTTTTTACCCTATTTGCTGCAATGAAAAGTTCTCCCTCTATTGCAAAAGGCGGAACTTAAACTGCAGCAAAATTTTCCCCAGTATACTGTAAATCTAGAATAATTAAGTCAGTTTTGATGCAATCTACAACAGTAATTTCATAATGATGATATACATGGGTGTTTACAGGGACAGATGTCAGACGTAGACTGTATGTATGTGGAACAAAATACACAGTGTTAACACTGGCTCTTTATGTCACACTGGTTGATAGCAAACAATACACAGCCACATCCCAAGCTGTTTCAGAAAGACTATTATTTGTACCCTCCCTAAATCAGTAATACTTCATTTAAAGTAAAGTAGATGCGTTAATTAAGTGTTTTGAAGGTAATCCCCAACTCCCTTAACAACATCAACCTCAAGCTTTGTGTCCTAATTCCCCGATCATTACTCTCAACAGAAGCTATTCATTGATTTACTACATCATAGATTTCAAAATTTTGCACTTAAAAAGAAATGAACAAAAAGCCATGATTGATGACCAGTGCATCCTACTAAAGACTAGCATTGATAAGGAAAGGTTACCTTTACATGCAAAACAAGCGATACTGTGCTGGCATTATTGCAAGCAGTGGGTTCTATCACTTTAGATTGTACCTGTGTTATAATTAGAAAATCATCCAAAATTCAACATAATGACATATGTACTAAATTCTCCATTTGTCAGTTAATTTAATCTTTGCCTTGTTTTAATGTTCTC